ATAAAAGCAGCTAAGTTTTGAGGCCTAAATGAAGTTTCAGGAGCTGCGGAAGAAGCCAGAAAAGACGCAGAAGGAGCAGAGGCAGATTCAGGGCCAAAGATGGAGAAGTCGTCCGGATTTGGTGGCCTGGGGCCGGAGGGAATGGAAGAACCGGTGGTAGGCACTGCTCTTCCAGGAGTCGGGAGAAGTGGAGCAATGTCAGGTGACAAGTCTTGGAAAGGAGGTTGAAGGGGATTAGAGGATGGTGAAGCTGAGATTGTAGGGATTCCAGAATCTTTCCTGGAAGCCAAAGATGGCAGAGCTGAGGCCATGATGATGAGAAGTAAGAGAAAGGAAAAGGAGGTCATTTCTAATGATGTAGAAATTAGTCAATGTCAAACTTATTGGAGAGTTCCTGGGAGAAGCAATTTTTGTTGTGAAAAGTTAGGGGAGGGACTGAGAGTGGAGGGGGATGTGAGCATTCAGATATAAGTTATCATGGAGGGCCTTAAAAAAGCTATGATCAGAGGAGCTGAGCTGAGTGGGGGTCAACTATTCAAGTCCCACAACGCAAATCACCAAGTTAGGTTCAATATTATTTGTACTTATAATGGGGATCCCACAATTAAAATTTCTCATTTCACCGAAGTTCCATAATCCTTACGTCTTTTAATAAAAAAAAAGAAAAGAAAAGAAAAGAAAAAGAATTTGTTTATGTAAAATTTCCACTACGTCAAGAAGTTTGAAAAAATATAAGCTGGAAGCCAGAAAAGTAGAGAAGTTGTGATCAAATAGCTTTTAAGCAAAGTCTTGATGGCAAAAGTAAATAATCAATTTACCATGTCAATAATGATACGAATATTTGTAGATTATTATACAATACAGGTCAAGTGCAAGATTGTATGATTGAGATGTGCATAAAACAATTGACTCACCTCTTAAAAATGAGTCAGTGAGCATTAGCAGAAATCAAGAAACATCTTTCATGGCTCATGCCCGTTTGAAAAGTTGATCTGACCATGGTGCCTGTAATACAAGAACCCTACTAACTCAGAATAACTCATAAACTGCAGTTCTACAGCGAAAAAACACAACGAACAGAGAGAGAGAGTAGATTTACAACCTTAATAAATTTAAATGCAACGACGAAGCCGCTGCAACTCCAATCCCACAAGGGAAGCAACATCAGCTAATGAAGGTATGCTTGAGCCTTTCAACTCAGAGACAATGGCTTCAATTCGTGTAATCTCCAATGCAGATATTGATAATATCATGGCGTGTGAAAGATATTGCCTACAGGAATAACCAAGTGCATGCAGCATCCGCTGCAACAGCAAATGAGAAATGCCCTTGTGCCAGGACTCAATAATTGCACCAACCTTTGGAAGATTAGTCAAAAATCCAGTTGTTGCTTCCCTTGGAGCTGCCTTGAACAACAACACTACACATTCAGATGCTATGTCAGCAACATTTGCTTCAGAGGATCCACTTAACTCCAGCAAAACACCCACATTGCTGCCAAAGTCTATTATATCTCTTATGCATTGCTGCTGATCAACCGCACTGCTTGCCTCAGAATAGCCATCTAAGAGCACTGGCTCCTTTGTATAAACAATACCTTTTCTACTTGGTACAGATTGTAGAAGAAAGGCCCTCCACAAGCTAAGAGTTGGTTCGAGAAAATCTTCCATATCTTTTGCATATACAAACTCCAAAAGATTTCCAATTTTCCTAACTACTTTCAACTGAGAGAGTAACTTGGAATCCATTTCGGGGGCAGATGCCAGAGCAAGACACAGCTTGACATTGTTTACATTTGCACTTGACAGATCTCCAAGCAAAAATTCAAAACATCTTGATACCATCTTCAGATCTAGAATGTCTGGGATTTTAATGTAACCAAACTCAATGAGCATCACAAGAAGCTTTTGTGCATACATAGGAATGGGATCTTCATCATCAATCAAAGTGGGGTACAGAGGAAGGAAATGAGAATTGGATATCAATTTCAGATCCTCTGACTTTTGCTCATGTACAAAAGGTTCATTCAAGAAGATGACCATCACATCAAACAAAATTTTAAGGCACAAACATCTAGCATCACCATCTTTATTTCCCCTGTATAAAACAGTCAGACTACGAAGAATTCCACTTATAAAAACATCAAGGCTTGGAAGAATCAGTGATGCCTCTTCAGCTACAGACTCCATAACTCATAGCAGAGTTATTTGGAAGTCATCCCTACCCTGCTCAATGAAAAAGATAATCTGTGTATTAAAATATAAAAATCACTGACTATTATTCATAGGACCACATCAACTTTATATGCTTCCTAGTGGCTGTAAATCTACCAACTGGACAAGCAATTTGTACCCAGTTACTTAGATAAATATACACAATCTGTGGTGTGTGCATGCATCACTAACTCTGCTTTTTTCGCTAACCAATTAGCTTCTTTTTTCTCTCATTTTTGTGGCCAAGACTAGTCAGTCAAGCATACAGATTGTAGACATATAACATAACTTCAGTTTCCCTTATTCAAAGATATAAATTTGGAGATCTAACCAAAAAGACATGTATTATAATTGCTGATATTTCATCTAAGTATAGCTAGACCTAAGAATGAGATCTTGCAAAAAGTTAAAAACCAGAAATTACTTAATAACACAGAATCACCCAGCAGCAATTACTCACCTGAAATGGTGTCTCCACAACTTGGATGAGGTTTGCCAACTGCTGCAAGACCTGGTGAGTCACCACTTTGTTTTTAAAAGATGAGCTTCCAAGCAGATGGAGAACAACCGGGAACAAATGAATGTTGGTCTTTGGAGCAACTCGACTAGTAAGGGCAGAGAAATGTCCATGGCGCGTTCCTCCTACCATTTGCTGAATATCTCCAGTTATATTATCCAGCAAGCCTGGCACCGTGGATGCCACAACATGCACAAATGAATCTAAACACTGCTGCAGATAGCTATCCTTCTCTTTTGCCAATCTGTCCAAAATGGACAGCAACCGTGCATTGCAAAAGAAGTGTGGTAACCACCTTTTCCCATTCTTACAAAGAAGGGCCACGAAAACAAGTGCTTTGCCCCTCAAAACTTCACTTCCTTGCTCAATGAGAGGCACAAGACCAGGGACCAGATTCTTGTCCTCTACCAACTGCAAAAGGTAACGCCCAATATTTGTGAGAATGTGGCTTCCAAGCATGGTCATGCTTAGAAGGTTTAAGCTGATTTGCTGCTCACGTGCACTGCCCTTGACAAGGGCAGGTGCCATGTCCTTGAATGAAAGCTTATCTATAACTGACTGAATGCTAGGAGGATTGAATCGAACAAGGCGAACCAAACATGATCCTG